AGCCAGTTGTACAACTTCCTCTGATTGGATCACAGACTTCGGTCCGGTTCCGACAATTACACTCCTTGTCGCACATCTCCCCGAACCACATGGGAGCACAAGCTGTTTATTGAAAGAATAAATATAAATAAAGTTAACCTGTAAGGATACAAAAAGCAATCATCTTCCTTTGGTGAAGTGACGGCCGCGTAGTGACGCCACTCCATACAGTGACGAGGGCGGCAGTCCTTCTGTCGGTTTACAGGAGTCAATCCGAGATGTTACATTTTTAGCCCGGGCCAAGGGGCACAGTTTGAAGCTAAATCTGCCTCCCCTAGTACATGCTACAGCTTACGAGCACAAACTACCCCAAGAAAGACAGTAAAGCCACTAAAACAGAATGGGTTACTGAATGTGAAAGAATTAGGAAACATAACGATTATTAAGGAGCAATAACAATAGAAGAGTAATCAGGAAGACAGTAGATAACTATTATATTTTTGAAGATCAAATATGGCTGGAGAGAATGGAACCGGAAGAGAGTTCCACAAGCAAGAATTACGAGAAAGAAACTGTTAGCATAAAACTTACATATAGCCAATTCAAGTATAAATTCATTAGGCCCTGTTGCCAATCTGGTACTGCGATTAAGTGCATAAAGCCTAGGCACTAAAGCGATGAGCTAATCTGAACAATTTAAAGAAAAGACACAGGGGATTATCTTTACGGCGATGGGAAAGTGACTGAAGCCGAGACGTCAGGTCAGGACCAAATATATTGCTGATTCTTCTTGGAATTTTATCATAAATAGTAGGATCACATGACCATATGTGAGAATCGAAGTTATTATTCAGTAGTAATAGTCAACAAGTTTTGCTGGTTGACCATTACTCTCCATCGATGTGCCCACCCTGTCGGTTGTAAATACTATTGGGCCTTAAAATCGTACCCAACCTTAAGTGGAACGCATACATACGGTCAATTGCTAAAGATGCTGATAAAATGGTCGGCACCCTGACTCCTCCTGCTATCCTTTATCTTTACAAGAGCCAGATCAAGCCAAAACTAGAGTACTGTTGTCATATTTGGGCGTGAGCTTCTCCTACCCACTCTCTAGCCTTGATAGAGTCCAAAAGCGTCTCCGCGGCCTTGTTGGTGATGAATTTTTCTTCCCCCCTCCAACCTCTCTCTCATAGGTGAGATGTATCAAGCCTCTCGCTGCTTTATCGCTACTTTCACGAAAAGGGCTCGGAAAAACTACATTCCCTGGTCTCGTCATGTCAAAGCTTCACGGCAAGTACACGCCATGCCACTTACCTAGTAGAAAACCACCTACATTCTCTCTGTATCTCATCGGTTGTAAGTTCCACTCGAACAGCTTCTTCTAGCGACCACTGCCCCGTGAAACCGACTCCCATCAGGATATTTCCCCTATCACTACAGTGTTAACCTGTCAAGGCCCTTCCTTCTTAACGTTACACTCTACCTTGAGTAGCCCCAGGGACTTGTAAAGAGTTAATCTTACTGTAAAAAAAATCACTGTCTTCTGGCGCACGAGATGATGCCGATATTAATCCATTTGAGTAAGACTAGGTAAATATTTAGCTATATTTGGGGACGAAAGACGACGTAGAAAAACAAGATATAGTATTTCTAAAGGCTTACTTTACTTATGTCAAGTTATAAAAAGAAACATAGACGAAGTGATCAGTGCTTATTTAGAGGAAATCATCTTACTGAAAACTTGGAATTCGCAGATCGACAACGGTTCTTTCTTGGACGATAAACGAACGATGACATACTTGGCTCGAACTGGAGTAACACAGTTGAATTTGTGAGACACGAATTTCGTGGTGTCATGATCGTAACACTTCAGTCCGTCCTTGTATTTGGTGGAATTGGACACGTAAACTTGAAAATCCAGCAACCGGTAGGAAACTGAAAAGATAAAATATCGATAAATGCGAATGATCAAAGCAAATGGAATCTATCTATCTATCTATCTATCTATCTATCTATCTATCTATCTATCTATGTCTGTTTATGGAACCGTCATTTAGCTTGACGTGCCTTTAACCGATTTGGCCACAGAGGAGCATTCGGTTAGCAAGGTTGAATTTACTAAATGAATGTACGTGAGAGATTCATGGAAGATGGAAGTTTAAAGACAGTAAAGTCTGTTTATATCTATCTATCTATCTATCTATCTATCTATCTATCTATCTATCTATCTATCTAATCATGTTATAAGGCAAATACAATGTGTGAAATTAGATCAAATATGCTTTTGTTGTTCATGATGACGGTCGTCTTTGAGTATAGAATCCAGAGGTTAGCAGTGAATATTTCGAAGACAGTAGGGAAGCGTATTTCAGGTTAGCAGTGGATATTTTGGTACAAGTAGCAGAGCGTAGTTCGTCCTTCTGTTTCTCTTCGCCTGACAAGCTGGAACTGGACATTCGGGTAGAGTAAACAAAATGGCCGCCTTTATACATGACGGATTGAATGTTCTACGTCTTCTGATTGGTGGACTATAAAGTGAGTCAAGTCATTTGTGCTAACTCACTAGTACATACATATACACAAAAAACTGCAACAGCTTTTGTTTCCTGATGAGTGGATTTCACGGTTCAATTTTATTATAATTTTATTTCTTATATATATTACAACTCACTTCGTCTCATCTGTTTACCTGGTTTTAATAAAACACATTGTTTCGTTAAATAAACAACGTAAGTAAAAAACAGCATAATATAAATTAATCAGCGCAGAACGTCAAAAGATCCAGGAAACCTCGAGAGTTGACCTAGAAGGTAACCACAGAGTCACCAAGTACTGAATCGGGCCTCGAAGGATGACGGTGGGTTCACCAGTATAGACAAAAAAGTGAACCTAGCTGAACTTAGGACACACACACACACACACACACACACACACACACACACACACACACACACACACACACAAGACACAGGAAGTTGTAGAAATCTACGAGGGGAAAAGCAGAATTCGTCAAATCCTCTCAAGAAAAAGGTCAATCTTTTAAAGAAAGATCCGAAACCACATGCCCTTATTTGGTCATGTTTAATTTGATGGAACCTAGAAGTGAATATTCAGTTGTTTTATGTATGAAAACTTCGTTCTTTTGCTAAGACGTTACTATCTATCTTTCTATATATAAAATTCTGTGACTTCCGTTAGTCCGTCTATCCGTCCATCACACTCTCTAAAATAGCCATTCATTGACTGATCGAAACCAAATTTTGGGGAGAAGTGCAAACAGGTAAAAGCGTATAAAGTACAGTTTGTTTTAATAGGGTGTGTGGCTTAATACAATAAATTTTCATTATATTGGGGGGGGGGGGGGCAAAATTAAGTTTTATTCTTTAACATAATAGATTTTCTTTAAGATATTATATATACAAGAATCCAGTTTCCAGTTCACCTTGCACTGGCAAGAACTATAAACAAATCGCAAATTCAAACGCTTCAAAAAATTGGGATTTGGCTCCAGAAAAATATTTACGCATGGCCAGTTGCATGCTCAAGGGTAAGAAATCCTAAGAATTTATTATTCGCTGTTAAAAAGAAAAAAGTAAGAAATACATTTTCTTAAACGATATAATGTATCATAAAGTTTTATAAAATTAAATTAAATTAAAGAAATTATTAAGCCTCGAATTACAGCTTTTGTCAAAGTATGTTCCAAACAAATCAGCTTATTCAAATTTCATCGATTGGTTTAAGAAATTGAACAAAATGTAGAGTTTGTAAATTTCGAAAAGGATGTTAGCGATAACTTCAACAATACTAAATACCGTGAGGATTTCCACACGTGTTAGCGTGTTGCGAAAAGTTCTAGTCATTAAGACGGTGAGTTTTAGCATTTTCCTGAGGAAGTATTTCACTGATAAATACTAATAGTCAATAATAGATTCAATGTTTTCATAAATTCAAAATCGGAAACTTACATTTTTGTTCTAAGTCATCCCTGTTGAAAATCTTCATGTAATAAACTTCGGGTAAACCTTCCAAGTCGACCATCCAATATGGCACAATTTTAGAAACAACTTTTGTATGAGTGCAGGAGAATTTGTTTTCCGATATATCATAAAAAGGACAAGTGTGGCCATCCACTGCTTGGCCTGAGTCACCGTGAAAAGCTGTTGTACTTTGCCGTGTTGGACGATGCAAGGCGATATTTTCTGTAAAACAAAAGAATTGTTTTTTTTTTTAAACAGGAAATTTTACACGGCGGATATTATTACAAAATCGATATTGTTGATTAATTTAACAGACGACGAAAACTATTGATAAAATTCTAGGGAAGACAGAAATCCATTTTACATTATAAAGAGAATTTGTAATGTTTGTTGTATTTTGGTAATGGTAATTTCTTTGTGTACAAGAATGTACTCGTCTATAAAATATGAAAAACGAAATATACTTTTTAAATCGATATTCTCGAAAAAAATAATTGCGTACGACAGTATTGGTGAAAGGGCAAATCGGTATTTGTTAATCGTTAGCAAGTTAATCATTATTATGACCGTAAATTCGTAGTGGTAATGTTAATATTAGACGCTTCCATATAAGGAAACAGTCGACAGGAATTGATTGAGCAGACTATGCTATTAGCGGTTCAAGATCTTTCTATTAAAGCAAATCTTTAGAAAAATAGGTTTCTCAAGTTCTCTACCTTTTATTGTGCTTCCCAGTGTTGATGAGCGCTTCCTTCTTAAACTTTCTGTTCGATTGATTGATTCGTTTTTTACGGTTTATCAATCCTTTGCAGGTTATTTAAAGCTAGAAAATATTTTAAGATTTTTTAAAAAATAATAATGATTTAATGGTACAAGTCATACTAATTAACCCATAGCTGGAGGAGAAAAGATGAATTCATAAATTTCTCAAGGACCTTTGCGTGTAAGTGAATATAGCGAAACCAACTGAAATTGGAACTCGTCTCTTCGATTAACAGTTCTGAGCTGTTGTCCATTACACCACCCGTATAATTCAAGCTTACAGTATCTGGTATTCCTAAGTGGTCACCCATCTAGGTACTGTTCACGCTCGACGTTTCTTAACTTTCGGTGATCGTGCGGGAACGGTTGTTTCAACGTGATATGGCCGTAAGTATTGTGTGTGTGTGTGTAACATGGCAAGAATTGTTACAGCTTCTTTTGGTCAGCTTTACTTGACCATTTTTGCCTATTTGTTATATTCTTCAAATATTTCATATTCGGGTTACCTTTTATTTCAGGAAATGCTGAATAAAAGACATTTTTGTTTGTGTATGACTCCTTTTCTACACCCAGCTATGGGTAGATAGCAGGACAGATTGGGTTCTATAGCCTTGGATGACAACTAGTCTATAGCAGAAAGAAATGGCAACCTACTGAGGGAAAAAATCTGCCTCGTCAGTCATGTATCGAAAGATACATGATCGCCTACGCGTGTATCCCGCATGACACATAACTGGCTGATATTTGAGTAGATACTCTGTTTTTATTTATTAAACAGTATATATATTTATTTCATTTACCTGCCTGAATATTGAAGCAATCTTATTAGTAAAATATGCGTTCTTTGGCAGGATTCGAACCTGCGTTTCTCTAAGGGAAACCGTTAGTAGATATGATCTGCTCGGCTACGAAAAGAAAAGAAAATATATATATATATATATATATATATATATATATATATATATATATATATATATATATATATATATATATATATATATATATATATACACTGAGAGATAGCTTATTCCTAAAATTTCGCTTGAAGATGAAACGGGACTAAACACCACAATTCAACTTAATTTTAATAATTATTTGGATGATTTTGGCTCTCGTTTTTGAAACATGAGAACTCTTATGTAGCGAAGGAATCATATTTTTAAACAAAAAATATTATTATAATAAAGCCCTACTTCTGTATGGAGCACTGTCATCTTAAAAATAAAAACAAAAATACTAAGGAACTCCGGATTATGCACCCAACGTGTTCTTTTCTATTTTCTGCATACGTACGCACTTATATATATATATATATATATATATATATAGAGAGAGAGAGAGAGAGAGAGAAAGATAGAGATAGAGAGATAGATATGAACAAAATCTATTACATTGACTTACATGCTAATATCCCTGGGAAAGGTATGAATCTTTTTCTTCTCCCCCAGACCGGGTTCTATAGCCTTGGAAGGCAGCTGGTTTACCGCAGAAAGAAATGGCAAACTACTGCGGGAAAAATCTGCCTAAATACATGAAAAATACATGGTCGTCTAAGCGTGTATCCTGCATGGCGCATCACTGACTGACTGAAGCTTAGTAGTGATGACAGTAGCAGCGTGAACTGAGAGAGGAAAATATTGACAGTATAATTCTCATGAGGTGCATATATTTACACGCTAGCATAAGATAAAGTACTAAAAAGATATTTCGGTTTTTTTAAACATTTCACCAAAACAAGTCACTAAAATCACTAAGATGCAAAGTGCTACTGAGTGGCGAAGGGTATGAGAAAAAGAAAACATGATTAAAGACAGAGAACAATAAAATAACAGGAATAAATTAATAAAAGAACAATGACTTAACAAATACAAATATAGCCACAATATTTGACGAAAATGTCCAGAAGAGCTGTGATATCTTTTTAATCATTTCAAGGTAATAAAACCACTAAGACGCGCTAGGGTTACCAAGTGTGAGAGAATATGAGGAAAAGAAAATATTATTCGGGAGAGAAGACAATAAAATGACAAGAAAACAGGAGACAACGATTGACACTGCATTTAAACTTTTAAAGATCAAAATTGACTAGGAAGAAAGAGGCCAGAAGAGAGTTCTGCCAAACGAGCAGTGCGAGAGAAGAAACCATTAGCATAGAACTTACGGTTACATCCAGCTTTTAGACTATAAAATGATGACACTAGCCGCCAATCTAGTAATGCGCTTACATAAGTAAAGTCGAGCTACAAATGAGGAAAACGCATCAGAAAAATTGCCACGAAAAAAATTACAGGGAGGCTATGTTGCGGTGGTGGGAAATTGACTGAAACCTATATTCCAGGTTAGGATCCATAACATTGTAGATTCTTCTTTGGATTTTATCAAGAATCTCTAAATATTATAGCAGGGGGTACCAGACAAGATTTGGCAGCAATAATCAATGCACGGACGAAGAGCAAATATATGTGTATAATTTTCTGGCGAGAAAAATTGTCTAGTACGACACAGTGAATCAACTTTCCTAGCAACAGACGTAGCAGTCAATGTAATCTTTCCACTTCATATCAGCAGAAAACGTTAACCCAAGAAGGCGAAGTGAGTCATGTTGGAAAGCAAAGACAAGAGCAGATTCGTTTTCTCGGCTTTAAAATTAAGAAGTCATTTCTTGCCCCCGGTTAATAACAGATTGTAGGGAATTTTCGTGTTCAACTCACAATTTGACCCCATATCGAACCTTATTTGACATTAAGTGAATATTTTAATTTATTCCCCTTTACGAAGGAGACTGCCACTCTAATTTGGTCTTATTTTAATTTTCCTAAAAGATTTTTTTTATTTTTCTATGCAGGAAGTGGGAAATTATGGCTCTCCTCAACTTCTATCCCTTGTAGATCTTAGCAACGTTGGTCCTTTTGTCAAGCTTTTTAACCCACTTTCTGACATCTATTAACAAGAGATCTCCAGATAAATGGCTCACTACCTTCTTATGGAAGAAAAATTAGTAAGTAAATTTCGCAGACAATTAATCGTGAGAAGTAAGATAGTTTCAAACTGAGTACTTAAATGCACAAAGCCTACGAAAAAATACAATTAAATTGAATACAATCATTACCAGGAGTATAGCTTTACTATCTTAGTGTTACATTAAGATCTTCTTCTTCTTCTTCTTCTTCTATGTGCTGTGTCCATTTAGGAGGTTGGTGATCATGGCTCTCTACACCGTCCAATTCCTTATAGTTCTTATATTCCAATCCTCTTCCGCTATCTATTCACACAAGCACGTCAGGCAGTAGCCCTCTACTTTTCACCTGTCCATTTTGCATTCGATATGTTTTATGACAATTCTTCAAGCCTTTCTTCCTCATTATGTGTCCAAGAAATTTCAGCTGTCTCTGATTCTGTGTACAAGTGTCCTTTCCAGTTACATTTTTCTTTTTCCGTTGCCTAAGCGATTTACAGAATTACTTCGCTTAAATTGCTAACACAAGGGAAGTCACTCTAAAAGATAAACTTATTTATCTCCCTTGAATATATTTTATTTCGACCTGTTAAAAAATGAATAAAAACATAAATAATTACTATCAAATCGTTTTCAATAAACAATTCTATAATTTATGTTTTATTCACTAACATTCATACGATTTGAATAATGGAAACACACGAGTACAAATAGTTTGTAATTGAATTTATATGTGAATTAATCGCACGAACATATATAGAAAAATAAAAACATTAAAATATATGTTTTTTAGGGCAGGTTGATTTTTCACTTTATATAGAAAATCAACATTCAACTCCATGCGAAAGCTAGGGTTTTGATGTGCTCATTACTGACACCAGATATTAGATTCACCTATTTTTGAGCATTTAGTTTTAAAGATCACCTGAAAAATGTACAGAAATACATATTTTCCGCAAATTTGTGCTTACAAACAGACTTCAAAATTTTACTATTTCAAGAATAAATCCTAAAAGTTGATATATTTTGTATTATATACATTGCATGGGAAATATATTAAAACCAGAATTCTAATTATGAATTACTACAATGAAAATATGCAAATTTTACGATATTTGATAAGTAAAAACTGTATAAAAATTCTAAAATATTCCAAGAAAGGCTACTCAATGAATGGATTAGATATTTTGTTAGATCGTTTGTTAAGTCATAATTAATAAAAACAAATATAGATAAAAGTGTATATAAAATCATCTTAATGCTGGGCATAAATTATAAGACAAAATGTTTTAAGTTTTCATTTTTTATTGAAAATCACATTAAAACTACCGCATCATAATATAACTAAATTGTTCAGTATAACTTCCCTTTGAAATAAATGAAGGTCCTATTTGATGTCAAAATGATTTATTAATAACGTGCTCATGTCATGCATCTTGTTCACAAACAATTAGCAAAGCTTCAGTAAATTATAAATTTTATAAGGCTGTGCTTTAAGACTTTCACAAATTACCGAAATAAAATTCCAAAGCTATGATTTTGAAACTAAACTTAATCATTTAAACTCATTTCCCCCAAAAAACGATAAGGATTTGTAAAAACATATTTTGAGTCATTATTTATCATGTTAAACCCCATCTATCTATCTATCTATCTATCTATCTATCTATCTATCTATCTATCTTTTTCTAGACTTTTCTATTTATCACAAGCAAATTCCTGATGCGAAAATAAAAACAAACATACTAAAGGAACCTTATTTCTATTTAAGTTTCTTTATTATGTCTGTTATATAAAAATTATGTCACAACTTTCAAACTTGTAGACTAAGATTGGATGTACTAAATCTGGAAAATGGGATAGACGTACCAAATTGAAATTCCAGTTGATACCGATACCGTTGCGTTCGCTTTTACAAAAATACCTTGGCAAGTTATGAATCAATCTCTTCTCCTGCACCTCCAGCTAAAGTTTTAGAGCCGAACGGACTGGCATATCTATCCCTGGTTACCTACCAGTCTAGGAAAAGACCGATTCTGAATTTTATACCCTGAAAAATATATTTACGATAGAGACCATAGCAGCAACGCCTGTACCCCACAGGAGAAGATACCGACTTGCATACACCCATACATACACCCGCATATATAATAATAGCTGGCCACTATGACGCTCGCTCAAGCACATTTGTTTTTGTTCAACACCCACAGAGCCCACGTGTGGTTTATATTGCAACTCTGCTGAGCGGACCTTAGTTACAGAGCGTTTTATCCACGAGCTTGAAGAAGGCCAGTATATTCAAACCCGAGGCCACGATGACTTGTGACTTCGTGCTAGCACAGCTATCAACGGTGCCCAAGTCTTCCGTCTACTCAGTTTCACTCACAAGGCTTGGATCAACCCGTGGTATGGTTTTCAGGCACTTTCCTAATGTG